AAGAACCACTGATAAAAAGTTCAGAGAACTTCCGTTGAGCTGATCAGAGAACGTCAGAAAAGAAGTTCAGAGAAATTCCGAGGAGAAGTTCAGAGAACTTCTGGAGAGAAATTTTAAGAGCTTCCGAAAATGAAATGCAGAGAACTTCCGAAGTGTCCAAAGAACCACTGATAAAAAGTTCAGGGAACTCCCGTTGAGCTGATCAGAGAACGTCTGAAAAAAAGTTCAGAGAAATTCCGAGAATAAGTTCAGAGGACTTCCGAAGGGAAGTTTCGAGAGTATGTTCAGAGAATTTCTGAACAAAATCTCAGAGAAGGTCTTGAAAATTCTAAGAACTTTTCGTCGGAAGTTCTCTAAGCTTCTGAAAAGAAGTTCAAAGAAATTCCGAGGAGAAGTTCAAAGAACTTCCGATGAGAAATTCTAAGAACTTCCGAAAAGAAATTCAGAGAACTTCCGACGAAAAGTTCACAGAATTTCCAAGGGGAGTTTCAGAGAGTTTCTTACGAGATTTTCAGAGATCTTCCGAGGATAAGTTCAGAGAACTTACGAAGAGAATCTCAGAGAAGGTCTTTGAACATCCAGTCGGAAGTTCTTCGAATTTGTACATGGAAATTCTATGAACTTCTCGTTGGAAGTTCCATGAACTTGTTCGAAGTCCCGTGAACTTGGCAGAAGTTCCGTGAACTTGGCAGAAGTTCCGTGAACTTCTCGAAAGTTTCCTGAAGTTCAGAGAACTTCCGCAGAGAAGTTCAGAAAACAACCAACTATAAATTCATAGAACTTCTGACTTGAAGTTCAGCGAACTTCCGACAAGAGCTTCAGAGACCGACGAGATGTTCAGATAACTTCTGAGGATAGGTTAAGAGATTTTCGGACGAGAAATTCGGAGAACTTCCGACTAGAAGTTTGGAGAATTTCCGACGAAAAGTTCAGAGCACTTGTGAGGAGAAGTTTAGAGGACATCCGACAAGAATTCAGATAAATTCCAAGAATAAGTTCTGAGAACATTCGACGTGAAGTTCTGAGCATTTCCAAAGAGAAGTGTTCAAAGAACTACTGACAAAAAATTCAGAGAACTTCCGATGAGATGTTCAGAGAACTTCTGAAAAGAAGTTCAGAGAAATTCCAAGGAGGAGTTCAGAGATCTTCTGATGATAAGAGCTTCCGAAAATAAATTCAGAGAACTTCCTACGAAAAGTTCAAATAAATTGCAAGGAGAACGAGAACGAGAAGTTCAGAGATCTTCCGAGAATAAGTTCAGAGGATGTTCAGAGAATTTCCGAAGAAAATCTCAGAGAAGGTCTTTGAACATCTAGTCGGAAGTTCTCTGAATCTCTACTTGGAAATTCTATGAACTTCTTGTCAGTAGCTCTATGACCTTCTCGTTGGAAGTTCCGTGAGCTAGTCAGAAGTCCCGTGAACTTGGCGGAAGTCACGTGAACTTGGCGGAAGTTCTGTGAACTTCTCGGAAGTTTCCTGAAGTTCAGAGAACTTCCGCAGAGAAGTTCAGAAAACAACCAACTATAAATTCATAGAACTTCCGACTTGAAGTTTAGCGAACTTCCGACAAGAACTTCAGAGACCGACGAGTTGTTCAGATAACTTCTGAGGATAGGTTAAGAGATTTTCGGACGAGAAATTTGGAGAATTTCCGACGAAAAGTTCAGAGCACTTGTGAGGATAGGTTCAGAGAACTTCCGGCGTGATGTTCAGAGAACTTCTTACTATAAGTTCAGAGATGTACCAAGGAAAAGTTCCGATAAATTCCAAGGAGAAACTCCGAGAACGTTCGTCAAAATGTCAGACAACTTCCGACGAATTCAGAGAACTGTCAAGGAGAGGACAAAACATTCCAAGAGAAGTTCAACGAATTTCCGAAGAGAAGTTCAGATAACTTCCGACAAGAAGTCAGATAACTTCCGACAAGAAGTTCAGATAACTTCTTACTATAAGTTCCGAGAAGTTCCGAGGAGAAACTCAGAGAACTTCCGAGGAGAAACTTAGAGAACTTCCGAGGAGAAACTCAGAGAACTTCCAAGGAGAGGATCAGAGAACTTTCGTCGAAATTTCAGACAACTTCCGATGAATTCAGAGAACCGCCAAGGAGAGGTTCAGTGAACTTTCAGAGAGAAGCTCAGATAACTTCCTTCGAGAAGTTCAGATAACTTCTGGCGAGAAATTCAGATAACTTCCAACGAGAAATTCAGCGAGCTTCCGACAAGAACTTCAGATACCGAAGAGATGTTCAGATAACTTCTGAGGATAGGTTAAGAGTTTTTCGGACGAGAAATTCGGAGAACTTCCGACTAGAAGTTTGGAGAATTTTCAACGAAAAGTTAAGAGCACTTGTGAAGATAGGTTCAGAGAACTTCCGGCGAGATGTTCAGAGAACTTCCGAGGAAAAGTTCAGATAACTTCTGACAAGATGTTTTGAGAACTTCTTACTATAAGTTCAGAGATGTACCCAGGAAAAGTTCCGATAATGTCCAAGAAGAAACTCAGAGAACGTTCGTCAAAATGTCAGACAACTTCCGACGAATTCAGAGAACTGTCAAGGAGAGAACAAATCATTCCAAGAGAAGTTCAACGAATTTCCGAAGAGAAGATCAGATAACTTCCGACAAGAAGTCAGATAACTTCCGACAAGAAGTTCAGATAACTTCTTACTATAAGTTCCGAGAACTTCCGAGGAGAAACTCAGAGAACTTCCGAGGAGAAACTCAGAGAACTTCCAAGGAGAGGATCAGAGAACTTTCGTCGAAATTTCAGATAACTTCCGACGAATTCAGAGAACCGCCAAGGAGAGGTTCAGTGAACTTCCAACGAGAAGCTCAGAGAACTTCCTTCGAGAAGTTCAGATAACTTCTGGGGAGAAATTCAGATAACTTTCAACGAGAAATTCAGAGAGCTTCCGACGAGAAGTTTACAGAACTTCTGAAGATAAGTTCAAATAATTTAGGATAAAGGATAGGTTCAGATAACTTCCGGCGAGCCGTTCAAAGAACTTCCGAGGAGAAGTTCAGATAACTTCTGACAAGATGTTTTGAGAACTTCTAACTATAAGTTCAGAGATGTAACAAGGAAAGTTCCGAAAAATTCCCAGGAGAAACTCAGAGAACTTGCGTCAAAACTTCAGACAACTTCTGACAAATTCAAAAAACTGTCAAGGAGAGGACAAAACATTTCAAGAGAAGTTCAGATAACTTCCGACAAGAAGTTCAGATAATTTCCGACAAGAAGTTCAGAGAACTTCTTACTATAAGTTCAGAGAACTTCCGAGGAGAAACTCAGAGAACTTCCGTCGAAATTTCAGACAACTTCCGACGAATTCAGATAACTGTCAATGAGAGATTCAGTGAACTTCCAACGAGAAGCTCAGAGAACTTCCAACGAGAAATTCAGTGAGCTTCCGACGAGAAGTTTAGAGAACTTCCGACGAGAAGTTCAGAGAACTTCCGACGAGAAGTTTACAGATCTTCTGAAGGTAAGTTCAAATAATTTCCGAGGAGAATATCAGAGAACCTCCGACGAGAAGTTCAGAGCGCTTCTGACGAGAAGTTCAGAGAACTTCCGATGAGAAGTTTCTCTGTCCTAAGATATAAATTTCCGAAGAGAGAGGTTTTATTTTCCTTGAACATTGTATAGCAGTCGTTAGAGCTGTTTTTCCAGTGATACGATACAGAGCCTACACATGACACTATCACTTAAAATTTTCTAAAGTACAAATCTCGGATACTATTCCGACTTTGCGCTTCAAATTTACTTTACCATATATCCTAAGCTGCAACAAACTTTGTGATGCATATTTCGTAATTTTATGTTTTCTGGTGGCTAATATTTATGCTCGGAAAGATTCTACTTAAGGGTGTTAGATTTTGATAAGTTCTATAGTGGGAATGACACTGATGTAGGCTGCACATTGTAGTCGAAATACGTATCTGTCATGGATACCAAAATCAATTAAGTTGAATTAAATGGAAGATAAGGGGTACCACACTTATTTGATGGATTAACTTTTTCGACCATCCCTGTATAGAAGATCCGGCAAATGTTCAACAAACATCATATTACTAAATCGGTCCGATGTCAGCAAACATTTGACATATCTTCTATGCAGGGCTGGCCATTAAATTTTAATACGTCTGGAAGCACACCACCATAATACGTTCAAGTTAGTTGAATTAAATATGCCTTCGATAAGTGACTTGAGACCAAGCAGACAAAGTGGGAAATCGATCAGCCTTCTGGAAGGTCAATTAAAATGATATTTTGACGTTATTTTTCCTGTCATCGTCAACATCGACCACAAGCAGCACACTAATGATGAATTTCAGCGGAGAAAATGAAGTTCAGCTGATTCGAAAGCTATCTATGAATAAACAAGTAAATTTCCCGAGAAATTTGGGAATCCAGGGAAACGAACATTTTGTGGAAACCCTAATCCACTGTGGCACTGCTCGTATGGCAATTTCTGAAAAAAATTGATTCTGTCTCAAAGTGCTTGAGTCAAATATTCAAATTCTTAGAAGCCATTGTTGAATCACCTTACGTGTGCTTGAATCACCTAAACGATGAGTTTGTTCGATTTCACAGGAAATCAAAGCTCTTGCCCGCACCAATAAAGGTACCCTTTATTTGATAAGAATTTGCCTCTCTCTTCCTGATAAGCCTGACAGACATGTAAACATCGTGGCCATTATACTTTTGTAATAATGCGCCATCACACTCATGATATGGCATGGAGCGTAAATTGCACGCATCTATTCTTTTGTTGTTGTTGTTGCGATAACGTCATAACGTGATTGGCACTCGTACAATGTTCTGTGCCAAGGGTTAAATATAACCAACCAATATAACAACAACAACATTGCATCTGTTGGCCAGTCGGTGATGGCGAGGCGACTTCAATTTCGATACCACAAACAACCACGGAATCATGTTCTACATGACACCAATAACTATGTAATGACATTTGTTTTTCCCTTTGTTTGGTTACTTACGTGGTGTCGTCCTCGGTCGTATGATGTCAACTCCCCCCTTGGGGATTCCCTTGATCAACTGCCCTCGGTTCGGGTCGGGTGTGTAGCGGGAGTCCAGCGACCCACCGCCTCCGTTGCTGTGCTTCGGGCCGGACATGTTGGAGGTGAAGGAATTTTCGCCCTTCTTGTACCCGCCCGGGTAGGTGAGGGCCAGTTCCTGATCCTGCCGTTTGCTGCAGCATTTGTTGCCCATTTTCGCTAAAACTAGTTTAATCTCACACACACACACACGCGCGTGTCCTCCTATCGATAAGGGACTGGCTACAGTAAGGTAATGTCGCTTTTGGTTTCGGTTTCGGAGACAAAGTCAGACAGGGGAAAATGCTGTGGCTTGAACGAGAGGCACACTGTGGGCTATTTAGTTGTCTTTTTGTCCTACGTTCCTACTGCACGTAGGTCTTAACCGTTCGTCGGAGGGGATCGGATATGTGCGTTCCGTTCCTAAAGTGTGTGCTACTGCCGTATTCTACAAAAAAGGTAGATCTACGTTCCGGTCTTCTAAATCTTGATACTCTCGGTTTCGCTTAGAATTTAATTCCAGATTATCTTGGCACGAATTAAATGCTGTCGTTGCAGTTTACGAAATTGGAGGTCTAGTGTCTTCGGGATGGTGCCGCGGTTGGTGGCTGCAATGTTGGGATGATGGTGACGTGGATGTGATCGATGATAGAACATTCATCTGATTACGGTCGGGAAACCACCAGGGAAGGATGCTCAGCCTTTCTTATTAGCACGGTTATTTGTGCGGATTAATTAATTTGCATCCTATCTTATTTGCTCACACAAAAAAGTCTCTGAGTCTACGATGGAACCGATGGTGATTGTGTAGATAAGGGCTTCGGTTCGTTTAAAGTTGATAAATTTTCACCACGTTCGTTTCTTCCTTATTCTGCTTGTCGTAAAATGGCACACAGCTCGTTTGGAACTTTTTCCCTGAAGGTGCAACCTCACTACTAGACGCTAGGTTGATACAAATCAGCGTGTCCTGCCGGTTGCCGCAACTACTAGTGCTGCTGATGTTCTTGGCCGGATGGTAGTTTGGTCTGTTGATGGTGACGATGCTGGCAGTCAAAACAACGCAAATCTATTCTCAAGAGGTTGCTTTCAACTGCCATTTTTGCCGGGGGTTGCGTTTTTTTTTGCTCTCAGGATAGTGCTGCGCAGTGATCTGGAAAAAGAGATGTGAAAAAAGGGTGGGTAAGAGAAAAGTTGAGTTGAAAACTTTGCATTTAGCGAAAGAGGAAAAGTGCTCCAGCGCTGCTGTCGCTTATTCATATTCATTATGTTGCGTTGTACTGTTTGTTAGACTTATATAGGTAGTATAGGGAAGGAAATTCAATTCAGGAAAAACAAGTGGTCCAGTGGACAATAACGCAAATTGTTTGGTAGAAATTTCCCATGTCTCTATTTGAGGACAGTGAGTCTAGCAGTCTTAATTACATCAGTAGAAAGCTTTCAACTAAGTTTGAATACCAAATGAGCCTAGCTTACATGTGACAAAAAATGATGACTTCAGGGCTGTAATTCTTAATCGTAAAAATCAACAATCCAATGTTGCTGACGAATTCATTCGAACAGTCTTTCTGAAACATTTTGAAGTATTTTAGGAAAGGCCACATTCAACTGGATATATTCCTAACAAATACTGCTAGCTGAATAATATTTTGCAGCTAAAAAAGGACATATTCCATGGTTCTCCTTCTTAGCCATGGCGGCCCAACATGAATTTTACGCTTTCGCTGAACTTAGTGTTTGCACTTTATCATGAATGTTACGAAATGTTCCAACCCGTAGAGCAGAATGGAAATCGATCCCGCCATCTTCAGCGTACTATGTCACACCTTAACTTACTAGGCTACTGGGTATTCCCAGAAGCTGAGATCTGATCTTGATCTCAAATATTGAATAAATAACTTCCATCTTTCAAGATTGTGGAGCTTGAATAATTTTCAAAGTTTTACCCAATATTTGACCCTACTTACCATTTACTCCAGTTTTGGTATTTCACTAATATTAACCTAGCTGCACGGCTGCAGTAAAATAGATTTTGTTTATTATTTTCAACCACGAAATTAGCTGTCAAAGTGTTCGACTTGACAGTGGATTGTTTTTTTAAATTTCAACCAGTAAAATGCATGAATTAGTGAAACTGCTCACTAATACTAACGGTGGTAGAGAACTCTATTGGAACATATGTAAACATTAGGGTGGTTCAAAATATAGATTTTGCTACACCCAGGGTGGCAAGTGAATTTCCATTTTGAAATTCCTGGTTTTTTCTTGGTTTTCCTGGTCAATGATTTAAAAATTTTCTGGTTTTAAAAACCAGGTATTTAAAAAACAATTTTTAGTAAACAAAATAAAGTGAACCTTTGTTCCATCATTTTTCGCCCAATGTGGAATTTCACAAACCAAAATAGGTATTAAGGTTCTTGTGAATGCCCGTGAAATCTTTATATGATTGTTTGCTGTAAAGAACCTAGTAGGAAGCCGCGCTACTTCGTCGTATCATGGCGCCTATTTCCGTTCTATGTGCTAAAACTACAATAGCAAAGCGTTTTCACTCATGTTTTTGCAAAAACATCTTTGCTCACAAGATTAACTACGATTGACACTGAAACATTTGCGATAACCCGTAAAATGAGCGATTTTGGTGTATGACGAAGAAAAGCTGAGATACGACAGACAAGCGCGGAGCCCTATCTAATGTCTGAAATTTAGAGATCTATAAGCCCCTAAATCTTGAGATTTCTGTTTTTGAAACTGCGATTTTTTTAACTTTCTTATTAAGATTTTTAGCCAACGGGCTAGTTTATCTCAAGGTGAAATTGCGAAGTGTGATATGAATGAGGACTCTTTAAACAAACCTTTGCTTCTAACAATTTTATGGATTTCCAGTTTGTTTAAATTTTCCGCAAATTGTCAACGATTAAGGGTCTTATTTAGCGGAATTTTTATTACAACATGATTTCAAAATCATATGATTAAAAGATTTCATAAACAACGCTGGTTTAATAACTCTTATTATTAAAAAGACTGACTGCTGAAGTTCATATAAATTCCCTAAAGTTCGTAGAATTTCCCTGAAGCGTTAAGGTCTGAAGGGTTCATTGAAGTTTGTATTGCCTGAATTTCATGGGACTTCCCCGAAGTTCGAAGGACTTTTTTTTTAAGATCTTAGGACTTCTCTGAAGTTCGGAGTTTTTTTAAATTCATAGAAATTTCTTAAATATCGTAGAAGTACCACGAAGTTCGTAAGACTTCCTTCAAGTTCGAATAACTTTCTCGAAGATCTGAGGACTTCCCTGAAGTTTGAAGGACTTAACTAAATATATGAGGACCCTAAATTTAAAAGAGCTTCCCTGAAGTTCATAAGGCTTTAAATATCGAAGGGTTTTCCGAAAGTTTGTGGGTCTTTCCTTAATTTCTTGGAAATTCCCTGAAGCTTGGAGAGCTCCCATGAATTTCGTAGGACTACCTGTAGTTCAATCGACTTCTCGGAAGTTCTAGGAGATCTATGGCAAGTTCAGAGGACTTCCCAAGAGTATTGAAGACTTCTCTGGAGCTCGGAAAAAATTCATAAGTTTCATCCATAAAAAAATCCATAAGCAATGCCTAAATGTCGTAGAAGTTACATTAAATCTGTAGAAAATTCTGTAAAATTCGTAGTTATTCCCCAAAGATTAAAGGACTTCCCTGAAGTTCGTAAGACTTCTCTGACATTTGTAGAACTTCTCTGAAGGTTCGGAGATTTCCTGACCGTCGTAGGTCATCACAGTAGTTCACAGGATTTTCCTAAAACTTGTAAGACATTCCCGAATTTTGTAGAACTTGCATGAAGTTCGAAGGCCTTATCTGAAGTTTTTAGAAATAGAACTTTTTTTATTGAACATGTTGAACAGGTACTTCAAAGTAGTTACGCGTCGGCACTGCTTAAGTCTGCTATCAATTAAGTACAAATCATACATGCAATTGATGAAACAAATTAAATTAAAAATAAATACAAAATATATTTACTAAATTCTCAGGGTAAATTTTGTTCATCAATGTTTAATTGTGTGAAAGATTTAGCTTGAACAAAATGGTTAGTTTTGACCTGTCTATAAAAAGAAACTTTGACATACATAAAATTTAAAACCCGTGGGGTTTTTTCCCGGTTTTTCCTGGTGAAAATAAATTCCCGACTTTTTCCCGGTTTTCCTGGCTCACTTGCCACCCTGTAAACCCCACTCAATCGGTTCAAAATCAGGTCCTGATCATTCATCCAAAATTTGAGCTCAGTTGCATGTAAACTCGTTCTTTGAATTATATATAATAAAAAATTTTGTACTCCTTGTCCTGACCCTTCGCCATAATGATATACGGAAATACTTGAGACAGCTTATACGAAATTTTCCCAGGTACAACAATGCTCAAGACCATTTACATCTTGGGTGTAGTAATTCCCATATAAACTTCAAAGGGTTAGTGGTGCAGTACGAGTTCGCAACCAAGTCGGTTAACATTTTGGGAGAATGATCAGGACCTGGGGCGGAGCATTATAATCACAATAAAAAACAAAGAAAGAGCGAAAAAAGTAAAATTTAAAAATCTCCCATTGTAATACCCATACAAAATTTTGACCTTCTGAATTTTCCCCATTTTCACTTTCTGCATAAGATTTAATTTTTGGGGTCATGAATTCATTTTTTTCAAAATGAAGCGTCTTATTGCTTACGCATGGTGAAGAGAGGAAGGACGTGGTGAGGGGGGGGGGGGGGGCTTAATCGGTCTAAAACCGTCCAAATAGTTCATGGACTTAACTTTCTTTTAATAGAATTGAATTTTGACCAATTTTCATGATCCCGTACTTATTTATTGATTTTTCGGATTCCTCGATATGAAACTTCCGGAGCAAGTCGGACGAAACATCCCCGGAAGTAGGAAGAATATTCCAAAGCAAGTCGGAAGAAAATTGTGGTGGATGTTGAAAGAAACTTTCGGGAGAAGTTGGAATAATCTTGCGGAGTAGTTTCTTGCGTCCTCCCCTGGAAGATTATTCGTTCTTTTCCAAGAAGTTTATTCCAACAGCCTCTGAAAATTTCTCCAAACTTTCTCCAGGTGTTTGTTTCTTCAACCCATTGATGTTACTCGGTTAATTCTTTCGACTTCCTCTGGAAGCTTCTTCCGACTTTCTCTGAAAGCTTCTCCCGAATTCCTCCGGAAGCATCTTCCGACTTCCTCCGGATGCTTATTCCGACTTCCTCCGGAAGCTTCTTCCAACTTCTTCCAGAAGCTTCTTCCGACTTCCTCCGAAAGCTTCTTCCGACTTCCTCCAGAAGCTTCTTCCGGCTTCCTCCGGAAGCTTCTCTCAAATTCCTCCAGAAGCTTCTCTCAAATTCCTCCAGAAGCTTCTCTCAAATTCCTCCGGAAGCTTCTCTCAAATTCCTCCGGAAGCTTCTTCCGACTTCCTCCAGAAGCTTCTTCCAACTTCCTCCGGAAGCTTCTTCCGACTTCCTCCGGAAGCTTGCTAAGACTTCCTCCGGAAGCTTCTTCCGACATCCTCTGGAAGCTTCTTCCAATTTCCTCCAGAGGCTTCTTCAGACTTCCACCGGAAGCTTTTTCCGATTTCCTCCGGAAGCTTGTTCCGATTTCCTCCGGAAGCTTCACCCGACTTTCTCCGGAAGCTTGTTCCGACTTTCTCCGGAAGCTTGTTCCAACTTCCTCCGGAAGCTTATTCCGACTTCCTCCGGCAGCTTGTTACTACTTCCTCAGGAGGCTTGTTCCGATATCCTCCGGAAGCTTCATCCGACTTCCTTCGAAAGTTTGTTCCGACTTCCTCCGGAAACTTTTTGCGATTTCCTCCGGAAGCTTCTTCCGACCTCCTCCGGAAGCTTGTTCAAATTTTCTCCGGAAGCTTCTTCCAGCTTCCTCCGGAAACTTCTTCCGATTTCCTCCGTAAGCTTGTTCCGACTTCCTCCGGAAGCTTGTTCCAACTTCCTCCGGAAGCTTGTCATCCTCTGGAATCTTGTTCCGACTTCCTCCCGAAGCTTCTTCCGACATCCTCCGGAAGCTTCTTCCGATTTCCTCCGGAATCTTCTTCCGACTTCCGCCGGAAACTTCTTCCGTCTTCTCAGGATGCTTCTGCAGTTATCCCCCAGAAAAAAATCTGACTTCCACCTGAAGCTT